TGGAATATAAATTCGTGAAAATAAGGAATCAAATTATATACAATGAACATACCAAAACACCATGCAAATCGATGTGAAAGGAAGAATCTTTATTCCTATCGTGGATGAGCTCAGCGAGTTCAGGAACATACTTGCCTGGTGTTCAAGAAGACACGTACATAATTTTTCTCAAACAAAACAAAAACAAGAAACCAAACAAAGAACCACAATTACAACCTGCATAGCTCTCTCCTGCAATGTAAAAAGTGTGGTTTCTGTACGATGGAAACTTAAGGAACCACTTCAGCAAAAAGTTATATGAATCATTCGCTGTTCCAACAAACACCAAACAAAATCATTTGATTCATCCAAACAATACCTCCAATAAATTCTACAAATTGTTTATATTACATTACATTCATTACCTGTAAATTGGTCGCCCAAATTGTCGTAATCGCTAGTTGTATTTGAGTATGAAAAGCCAACACCAATAGGAGATTCCAAGAACAGCATATTGGCCACTGCATCATCATTAAAGTGCACCCTTTTTTTTTTTCTTAATTAAAGAACATTACATTATAAAAAAGAAATTATTATATATACCTTTATTCCAAGAATACTCATTTAATTTAACCCCATTTGCATCATTCTCCACTTTGAATGGACCAATCTCTTGTGTTGCCCCATAACCCACAGAGGAGCACCCAGGACCTGAAAACAATCTCTTGTCACCTCACCATACAACATTCAATTGGAGGCATATAATAAATTATGATTTTTGTGTAATAATTAATTAACCTCCATTGAGCCATAGAACCAAGGGTTTTTGTTCTGGGTGAGACGCAGCCTCGTAGAACCAGTAAAACAATGCCCTCCCGTGTGGCTCATGCACGGTGACATAGCCGGAAAAATGGCGGAATCCGACGAGGGGCTGGCCTGGTAAGTTAGTGACGAGGTCATCTTCTCCGGCGGAGGTAATAACTGGTTTTTTCTGTAAACGCCATTGTGTTCTTCCCAATCCCAACGCAGCCTCCATAAACAGAGCACACACCACAAAAACTGTCGCCATTACTGAAAGCTTCATTTTTGATGTGGAGATTTGGAAACAACCCACGTCTCTATTTATACACCACATTTCTACCTATTACACTGATTTTAAAAAATGACCCATCTCTGACACGTGGAAATATTCAAAAGAAGAGAGAGAGAGAGAGAGAGAGAGAGAGAATGCCACGTGGCAAAAGACCTCGAGCTGCCACAATGAACATATAATTATCTCGACACTATTTTATCCTCGATATTAACATAGTTGATCACTTAAATCGTGTCGACCAGATTTACGCATCAACTCGTTATTAAAAATTGTTTTTTTTTTTAAGATCAGTTTGAAAAGTTGAGTACAGAAGCGTGTGGTTATATTACAGTATTTTAAAGGAATTTTGCATAATCCACTAAGGAGCGATTGTTTTGAAAGGGAACAATGTTTGACTGACCATTTGTCCCATTGAAAAGCCAGGAAGGAAAGAGTACACGTGGCATTACATGGCTGGTTGAGGTGGAAAATATTATATATTAAAAAAAAGGAGACGAGCCCAGATCTTGATCATCATTACAAAGTGGAAAGATGGAATTTTGTGGCGAACCGATGATAATTAATAACCCATGAAATTGTGGGGAGGAAAAAAAAAATGCTATTTATTTGATATAGTGACGAGGATTCCAACTTTATTTTTAGTTGAATAATGAGATGGAATTCATTTATTTATTTAAATAACATTAGGATTCCATTTTATTTCTTAATTGGGTATTAATTATATGGTCTTTTGGTGCTATATGATTTTAATATCTTCCTTAGTGATATAACATTATATTCTCCACTTCTTATAACTTGTATCTACGGAACTTTTAATATTCATAAATGTAGAATTTTGAGTGTTACGCGATCTTCCACCAAATTTCTTATTACAAATCTGGTCAAAATTAAAAGTTTTTATAGTTCTCTTACTTTCTCGGGTGGCCATTGTTAGTTTATATAAAAGAATGAATGACTCAAGAATCGATGGATTCCGAGCGCAATTTTAACAACCATTTCTTTTATGGGTTTATTTAATTGAGAATTTGTATGATAGTGGAAGTAGAATTGAAAGTTTGGCAAAGATTAATGAGATGTTCTTTACCCTAACCTTGATGAAGGAAAAGTTAGGCAGAGGGAGCTGGGTGGTGTGGCATAGTAGGCAACAGGGCAGGGGTTGGGTTGGGCACGCACACGCCGTTAATGGGCGACACTAATGCTTCAATATGAGTGGTTGTCTGACCGTTTTGGGGCAAAAGTATTGTAGTTTATGGGCCCATTAAAGTGGGGTCGTGTCTTTCTTTTTGCATAAAAGCTTAGTCCACCTTTCGAATTAAAGTCTTCTTACCCAACCAATACCATTAATTAATGTTTCGCTATCCATATGTTTTTTGTGTAAAGTAGATTATTATTTTTTAGGTTAAATATTTTAACACAGACTCCGCAAAATAGATTTATGTCAAACTTAATATTTACATACCCAAATGTCTAAACTTGTTTTAAGTTAATCGGACATTATTCTTAGACACAAAGATTTCGAATAACGTGTGAAAGACAAGAAGTACATGTAAGAAAGTCAAAAGTAGGTGTAACAAACTTTATATAATAAGTGATAAATAATAATGCAAAAGAATAGAACATATTCGAGTCTATCCTAAATGGATTGGGCATGGAAGTGGAAAAGCGACGAAGAAAATTTTGTTGACTAAAAAGTCATATGAAGACTAGTCGCCCACTCAGCTGAGCTGCCGCTGCCACTGCCAGCAATAGCATATGCAAAATGGATGGGCGTGGGATGCGACTCTTTAGCAGTTAGCAGCACCAATGGTTGCCAAACCTGCCTTTTCTTCTACACCTTTGGCCCACTTGGTTCTCATCTAAACCAATACTTTTCTGCCCATTTGGATGTCTTTGTTCCACTAACATGGTTGATGAATCACTTTCGAGTTTGACATCGTGCCAAAAAAGGCATACAGGCATACCTTTCTACGTGAGTGCTCTAACTCAATCCAATAACCTTAGCTCAACTATTGAGTGTTTAATAAGGCGTTTCAATACCATTTCGCGAGATATTGTCCTTTTGGACTTTTCCTTTCGAAATTATAATTTCAATGGCCAATCGATGTCGTCCCATTTTTAATCGTGTCATTTTTTCATCTTTTAATCTGTCCTCCACAAAATTTATTGGGTTAAAGTATCCCATTTTTTGCTTTTTTTTTTGTAACTTTTAAGTACTTGTACTTCCAACTATTTAGACTTCTTCATCCGTTGATGAATCTTTTTAGTAATCTTTTATTTGCATAGCCAATTCCGGAGTAGTTCTTTAAAATAATTTGTAATTGTTTGTTCATTACGTCACTGCACGGTCTATTCACGGCAGCTTAGGCTTGACTCGTGAACGGAGACTGACCCTGAAAACGGGGTGAGGCTAATCCGTTTCCTGTCCAGAGCCATCAATGGCGAACCTAAACCCAAATCCCTTCGCAGAGATGAACGAACAAGAATCTGAACAGGGCCATGGCCGATCCTTCCTCAATTATTGGGGCAACACCTCCGAGGAAGACTATTTCGCATCTCAGCGAATTAAAGCCTCCAAATCCTTCTACACTTCACCTCGTGGCTTCAAGCTCTTCACTCGTTCATGGCTTCCTCTTCCTCCCACCCCTCCTCGAGCTCTCATCTTCATGGTCCATGGCTATGGCAACAACATCAGCTGGACCTTTCAAGCCACTTCCATCTTCCTCGCCCAGAAGGGTTTCGCTTGCTTTGCCCTTGACCTCGAAGGCCATGGTCGATCCCAAGGCCTCAAGGCCTTCGTTCCCAATGTCGACTCTGTCGTTCACGACTGTCTCTCCTTCTTCAATTTCCTCAAATTAGACCCCCAATTTCAGGGTCTACCCTCCTTCCTCTACGGCGAGTCAATGGGCGCCGCGATTTGCTTGCTGATTCATTTCGCCGACCCCAAAGGGTTTGATGGTGCGATTCTCGTCGCACCCATGTGCAAAATCTCCGATAACGTGAAACCCAATTGGCCGATTCCTCAATTTCTTACGGCGGTCGCGAAATTTTTGCCCACTTTAGCGATTGTTCCGACGGCAGATCTGTTGGACAAATCCGTCAAGGTGGAGGAGAAGAAGATTGTGGCAGAGATGAATCCAATGAGGTATAGGGGAAAACCCAGATTGGGAACCGTCGTAGAGCTTCTTAGAGTAACAGAGCATTTGAGTCAAAGACTGAGGGATGTTACTCTGCCATTCATCGTCCTCCATGGAAATGCGGATGTTGTTACAGATCCGAATGTGAGTAAGACTTTATATGAAGAAGCGAAGAGCGAGGAGAAGACGATCAAGATTTATGAGGGAATGATGCATTCATTGTTGTATGGGGAAACTGATGAGAATGTTGAAATTGTTCGAAATGATATTCTTTCTTGGTTGAACCGAAGATGCCGGACAAGTGTAGATGGTGATCGGAATTAGTAACAAGATGTATACTTTTCTGGGAATTTTTGTTGGTTTTGAGTATCAAATTATTTGTAGAAAGGATGATAAAAGCTTTGACGAGTTCTTGGCATGTGGTTACCATTTTAATCTGATCTACGTCAAAATTGGAAATAAAATGGTACATTACAAAAGAAAAAAAAATTGTTTTTTAATTCTCATAGGTGAGGATCCGAATAAGACCCGTAAGCCCAAGACCCGGATCCATTAACTCGAACATTTTCAACTCCCGACTGCCAGCGATGAGGGGTCGCCGGTACGCAATTAATTACTTCGATTGAAAGCATTGCGATCCATTGCGTGCAGCAAAGAATCTTGTGATTCCTTATCAGAGTAAGTTATTACAATTTCTCGTTGGCTTCTCTGGAGAATGAGTTTGTCGGATTTATTGTATGTTTTCGGCTGTAAAATTAGGGTATAATTCCTTAATCATATTTGTTCTCTAACCTGAAATTGGGTGCTTCAGAGGTAGGATTTAGGGTAATTCCTTTATCTTCTGTTTGTGATAGCGTCGGATTATGATTACAGTAATCCTTTTGTTTTTATCTCAGATTTCTTCTAGGTGAGTTTGTGGATTTGTTTGTGTATAAACAATGGATTTGAAGGTGGTGCACTAACGTCATTGTTGTGGATTGTGATTTCGACAATTTGCAGAGAACGGAGTGATGGTATAATGCATAATCAAACAACTGCCTTACTGATTCTAGTTTAGTGTTATTTTAAGGAGTTAGAGGTGTTTCAATCGAAATTCTTTGTTCAGATAGGTTTATAGTCTGTTATGGCTTTATGTCACTTACGCAGGCCGTATGGAAGAAGGTTATTAGAAGGGAAGATTGGGAGAAGAAGCTTAACGACGTAAGGATTAGGAAAGAAGACATGAATAAATTGGTGATGAATTTCCTCGTCACTGAAGGTTATGTTGATGCAGCTGAGAAATTTCGGATAGAGTCTGGGGCTGAGCGTATCCATTCGTTAATTTAGTTCCTGCTAATTATGTGGTGTTCTGTAAATTTTTGCATTATTTGGTTCTCCTTATGAATATATAGCAGAAATAGATCTTGCAACCATTACAGATAGAATGGCTGTTAAGAAGGCAGTACAATGTGGTAATGTTGAGGATGCAATTGAGAAAGTGAATGATTTGAATCCTGAGGTTTGATTTCTGAACTAAAAACTTTGTTTGATTCTTAGGTTATATGGGTATCATAATCTTAAGAAATAATAGTGAAATCAAATGTTGGATCATTTCAGTGCTGTTGGCTTCCCATGATGAATAGCTTCTTGAGTTGTATGATTATGCACCTGGGACTTTGAGTGCTGATTGGCATGTTTTAGACCAGCTACCAATCAAAGTTCCTCACATAATTACTACCTTGCGTGCATTTGGAATTTTCATATTCATTGAACCAAAATCTGGTGTGTACTTGGGATCTTAGACGATTAGTGTGAGATCCTACATCGGTACGAGTGGAAGCCTTAAAGGGAAAGCCCAAAGAGGACAATATCTTCTAGCGGTGGGCTTGGGCTGTTACAAATGGTATGAGAGACAGTCACCGAACGGTGTGAGACACTGATCAGAGTAAGACTAGACTCTCTCCATAGTAGACGCGGTCTAAAACCTTGAGGAGAAGTATGGAAGGGAAAGTCCAAAGAGGACAATATCTACTAGCGGTTGTTAGCGATGGGGTTGGGCTATTACAGTAAGCCATTTTACATCCACATGTAGTATATTGCTTGATGAGTTGATGACACAAATTTGCTTCATCTATTTGGAATTTTCATATTCATTGAACTAAAATTTGGTGTGTACTTTGGGATCTTAGATGGTTAATGTGAGATCCTACATCGGTTGGGGAGGAGAACGAAACATTTTTTATAAGGGTGTGGAAACCTCTCCTTAGCAGACGCGTTTTAAAAACTTTGAGGAGAAGCTCGAAAAGAAAAGCTCAAGGAGGATAGTATTTGCTCGTAGTGAGGTTAGGTTGTTACAAATGATATAAGAGTCAATCACCGGACGGTGCAAGACACTGATTGGTGTAGGGCTAGACTCTCTCCATGGTAGACGCGTTTTAAAATCTTGAGAGGAAACTGGAATGAAAAGTTCAAAGAGGACAATCTCTGGCATTAGTGGTGGGCTTGGAGTGTTAGAGTTAGTCATATGAGTGGATGACACAGAATTGATTCATCTATTTGGGAATTGCCAATGAGCCTTTTCTTTTCCCTCGTTCTTTCTGAGGGTGAGGGTGTGATTCCTCTCTTAAGTGATCTTTTGACTCTCATAGGTATCTATAGAATGGAGATTGGATTCCCAATCATCTTATTGAAGAATAATAACTTTTTGTAAGAGAAACAACTGACTAAATATCATTCATTGCTATCATGCCAGCTTTTCTGATCAAGTTTCATATGGTAACTGGAGAATAGTTGGAGATTGTTTGTTTAAAGTTCTTTCTCAGTTTATGTTGTTATGTTACCGAAGCACCTAAAACACACTCTCGCTTGCAGATATTGGATACAAATCCCCAATTGTTTTTTCATCTCCAACAGCAAAGGTTGATAGAACTAATTCGTAATGGAAAAGTAGAAGAAGCTCTTGAATTTGCACAGGAGGAGCTTGCACCAAGGGGAGAAGAAAATGTAGTTTGACATTGGAATATCATATGAACACTTAAACTATTTATTCCCTTCCCCTTCGCCTGCTCTCCAAAATAACCCGTGTAGCGTGTACTTCTTTCAGCAAAGCTTCTTGGCAGAGCTGGAGAGAACAGTTGCTTTACTTGCGTTTGAAGATGTTTCAAACTGTCCCGTTCGAGACCTTCTGGACATCTCTCTGCGCCTGAAGACGGCAAATGAAGTTAATGCAGCCATCTTAACAAGTCAGAGTCATGAAAAAGGTTAACATCCTTGCCACCCCACCTTCTCCATTTGAACTACCTCGCTTTAAAATAATAGTCTTTTTCCTTAAGACATGCTCTGCTAAATTTCTGCCTCGCCCAAAGACACATTGGCAATGAAAATTGAACCATAGTGAAGAGACAAGACAATATTTTTGTAACGACCCAGTGTCTTCTTTGGGCTTCTTTGGGTGGATTCCACCGCTAGCAGATGTTGAAACGTGTCTAAAGGTTTCCACACCCTTGTGTCCTCCCCTACACCGTTGTTCTCCTCCCGGGGACATCACAATTTTGGAGGGTGTAGGTGATTCAACATAGACGTAAAGTAGTCAAGAACAGTCATTTAATTTCAACTATATATTTCATAGTTATGCTAACATATTATGAGTTGGTGTGGTAATAACGTTATCGTTTGGTTTGGTCTTGTTCTGCAGATCCGAAACTGCAAAACTTGTTGAAGATGTTAATGTGGGCACAGGACCAACTCGATGAGAAAGCAGCATATCCTCACATAAATGATTTATCCACAGCTATGCTTGAAGATCCTCCCATTTGAGATATGTCATTCAAAAAATTACGTAGTCTCTGCCTATAAACGATGATTTAAATCTCTTTGAATTGATGAATTGATGAATTAGAAAAGGAAAGAAAGATACGGGTAGAACTACAACCAAAATCCTTTCCATTTAGGCAGTGAAATGAAAAGCAGGCCAAGCCGGCAGTGTAAAAACTACAATAATGAGAATTAAGGAAATAAATATGTTCAGTCATGACTCAGATTTCCCCCAAAGAACATAAGCCCGCATGGCGGAATTGTAAACATTGGCACAGTGCTGAAGTTCATATCTGGTGCGGCCATCGTCAAAATTAAGAGCATAGCTACTGGGATCATACTGAAACTTGAGTTTAAGTTGTCGGTTGCTTCCATTCTTGATAGCCTTCTTTAAAGCCGCCCTCACCCTCCCGAACAAATTCAAGCATTGCTTTTTACCGTACGCATTCATCCGCTCCAACCTTCTACCGCCCTCCAGTTTCATTGCGAGCCCACGACCTGTTCGATAAAAGTCCCCAAAGAATTACTATATCGGGTTGGAGTTTTGAAAAGAGCGGCAATGGTAGAGCGCAAGGTTTGTTTGAAGGAAAATTGAGAATTAAAGATGAAAGGGGGTGGGGGTGGTGGTGGTGCACATTGGAAGGCTCAAATTCTATGATTGAGGAGGGAGAGGTGGGAGAAAAGAGGAGATGGTTGGCGCAGTGGCAGTGGGCAGAGAGCCTCTCTCTCAAATGTCGTATCGCTATCAGAACTTGTTGCTGGGCCGATGCTGCTGCTGCTGCTGCTATACAGCACCCGTTTGAAACGGTAACTCCCAAACCATTATAATAGGAAACCATATCTCTTTCTTTTTTTAATCGAGAATCTTAACTAAGTACACCGATTCTTTAGACTTTTAACTTTAAATTTTTTTTTTTTTTTTGGCTGAATTATAAAATAAAAAATATAATCTTAACCTTTCTAGTTTATCTGAATTAAAAGAAAAATTCAATTATATCTTAATCTTTTACAAAAACTTCATAAATATTCTTTATTTTTATTTTTTTGCATTTTGACAAAACACTTCACCATCTTTTTTTGATAAAAAGTTGAGGTGACATCTTATTTGGATAAACTATAAACTTCCATCAATTTTACTGTTTTTTTTTTTTTTTTTTTTTTTTTT